CAGCACTGGACTGCTAACTTCCAGGTTACTGGTTCAAACCCACCAGCCTCTTCTTGGAAACCCTTTACAGGGTCACTGCGAGTAGGACCCAACTAGACAGCACATTAACCACCACCATCACCATAATATTAAAGATGACAATACTGAGTATGGATGGTAGCATTAAATAACAGAGACCTCCAAGTGGTGGAACAAAATTGCACTGACAGTAGAAATCAGAACTGTAAGAACACTGCTGTAACAATTACCATTAATATCACAACCTAGTAGTAAAGTTAGGAAAATGAGCCCCCCTCCACTTAAACTATGCCTAAGGTTAAATGTGGCTAAAACAGGTATGTTTCAATTGAAGAAAATGTTAACACAGTAAAGAAAACTTTAAAGGAATGGGGGAAAGAGGACCTCTTTCCTGCAAAGAATTGGCAGGGAGGGTAGCTGTGGGGAAAAAGAATTGAGAAAGCAGTTAACAGTTATGGGCTATGAGAGAGGGTTGATGAATGGATGGGTGTCTATTTCATTTGATAGCAACAAATTACATTATGAAAAGCAAAGTCAATTATCTGCTTCAACGTTCCAAATGGAACTGGGGAATAAAGATATTTCTATGACAAAACAAACAGAACTAACCAGTGACCAAGACAAAATTTATTGTATTATTCTGGGTATCAATGAATAATGGTGGTGAGTTGTTTTGTGTCTCAAGAAAGCTCAGGCTCAGGCAGTGATGAGAATGGCAGGATTACACCAGAAAGAGAACTAAAGCTGCCTTATGGTTTGAGCAGAAGGCAGTCTAGTATGGGAAGGGAAGGAGCTCATGTTTTTGACAGAGACACTGGGGACAAGTGCCAATTCAGAAGTGGTATGGCTAGGTACGTCACAGCTCAAGACACTCACCTCAAGTTCAGTGCAGATGGAATGATGAAAGGCAGAGGTCTAGGGACATACTTGGAAGCATGTGTTCGTAAACTGCAAATTCCTTGTGACTTCTGTTTCCTAATTTAAAAATCTTTAATGGGCATCCATTTTTCTTCAGTGAATAATATAGAAGACTGCATGAACATGGCTAAATTTCCAGGATCCTCAGTTCTCTAGGGATGAACTAAATGGCTGGTATTATAGCTTACAAACGTGTTGACTTTGATGGAACTTATCTTGAGAAATAATTTTTCTCTTTTAATTCCATTTTCCCATGAACTTTCTGAAGACTCCTTGTATAAAAAGAAAGCAAGCCCAGAAAGGCTAAGTAGCCTACAATCATAATATTTAGAACTAAAATGCAAATTATTTTATTTCTGAATCCAAAGTTCTTTAAATGAAGTTTTTGTTTAGTTTTATTTACTAAACCATGTAATTTATATACCATGTATACCCTCCCAATTAATGATTAAGCATCCAATAAAGAGATTCTGGATCTTCAATTTATTGCTATCAACTATAATGCCAAGGCCCCAATACTTTATTTTTCCACAAACAACGCACTCATGCATATAACACATACTCACAGGAATTAACAAACACACTTGGGGTTGTACAATTTGAAAGCAAAGTGTATAATGCACATTATTTGCGTGAAAATATGGTACTTGATCTAAACTGGAAGAACCTTACATACTTTTTTTTTAAGAGAAAATAATTTATCCCCTTATGAAATTTCAGGTGTTCTTTTAATTGGCAAGAAAATGCTTTCTAAGTTGAAAGATGACCAGAATTATTCCTCCCTCCCCTGTCAACAACTCTCCTCCCCAACACATGCACACAGTCCCACACTTCGTGAAAATGCTTGTGGATCATTTCACTGCAAGCAGAACATTAACATTTTCATCAATTGTCTTTTTCTCATACTGGCATGACCTGACAACCTTGACAATGAGGACAAAAGGTCATTTGCTTCTCTGAAGTAATCTGGCTTTGAACTAGTTGCCAGCATTAGGCCATCAAAGGAAAAAGGAAAGCATTTCTCTTCATCTGCCCTGCTACTACTGGTTCATTGCAAAGGGATAAATTTCTCAAGAATCAAAGGTGGGGAAAGTTGAATTCATGCTGAAAACAGATGACAGGTAAAATATTTAGGAATCACTTTTCCAACCTTACATATTTTTTAAAAAACTATTTTCAGCCATGTCAATAGGGTAGTTATACCACTTAATTATTTCAACTCAGTTATTTATTTTATGGAGAGTACTTTAAATATTAGAAACTCCTTTGGTCATGGTTAAAAGTGGCTCATATACCAGCCAGCATTCTTCAGGATTATTAATACTTATCATCAAAATTTACCTTTATTTGACTACTTTTATGTAAAGTTTCCACCCAATGTCAATTGATGGGGCAGGGAGAAAACCTGAACACACAATTTTTATTTTTAGATGTATTTTTTTAATCATATCTAATATTCTTTCAAATTTTTGTTTCAAAACAAAAGAAACACAAAACATGCTCAAAAAGAAGATATCAAGTTATACTTTTCATAAGGCACCATCAATAACTCTGGTAAGTTAAGAATCCATATTATATTGAAGCATCCCACCAACAGGTAAGGGAATAATATGTAAGGGAATAATCAATAGGGAATCTTGAGGTTTGTAAGAAACATTACTTTTTAGACCGCTTGGAGCACTGCAAAGTAAGAACAAGTAGGATACAGCTTTAAAAAACAGTCATATTCTTTCCTGTGCCCATCATTCGCTGCATAGTGGTAACTGGATATGATCCAGGCCAAGGAGAAAACTGCATTTCCAGAATATACTAACATTCATTCTATCCTCTCATGCTATAAATATCACTTGGCACATCCATCTCTAAAGAAGGAATAGTATGTTTTAACGTGAAAATAGAAAGAAGGTGGGATGGGAGACAATACAAAAGGTAGAAGACAAATTAATTGCTTGTTTTTCTTTCTAAATTTGTATTTTTAAGAACCTAGTGCAAAAACGACTTTCTACACACATATGATGCTAATTCACATGTGAACTTTATTGAACCTGATTATATGAGGGACTTTTAACAGCTTGATTCTTCCACAATTTACAATTTTTAAATCCTACTCCAAATTATCATTTTTTTTCTTTAAAGGTGGTTAATCCTACCCTTTGAAAGAGGGTTTTCCTCAAATGCTTTTCTTTCAATCTCCTGCTTTAAGTGCTGGTTGGCTGACAAGCATACTAAAGAATTAAACTGTTGACAAGTAGGAAATTTCTTCACATGCACTGAATTGAATTGAGTATGTAATCCAAATTGGAGGAAAAGAAAATGTCATTTCTTGGAGACTTGAAAAGACAAAAGCAGAGAAGAACAAATTAAAGCACAGGTAAAATTGTGAGAATTGTACAGTATGTAGTTTCAATAATGACATGCAGTAATTTGTCACCTTTCTGAGGCACCAATTTAAATCATGCAAGCCAAGTTGGTTTGCAGAGCTAGGAAGGGAGCCTAGTTGGCTACTGATCTCCATCTCATGGTTTTGTTGCATTACCTATCAGGAAGTGAAATAAACACTGAGGTGGGGAATGACTAGCACACCACTCCCAAGAAAGCTAACTACTAACATTATAGCTTTACTTGTAAATTTGGGGATTTGCATAGTTCTAATAACCAATCCTTTGAGAATAGCAAAGACTAATTTAATTTCCCCTTCATTGTTCCTTCTATTATCTTTGCCAGAAGAGTTTATAATGAAGGCAATGAGAAATACCTTTGAAAATAATTAAACACATAAATTGAAATATTAATGATAAAGAATCACAATTTCAAAGGAATGGGTAGGGTAAAGAACCATTTTAAAAACAAGTTTTAACATAAAATGTTACAATATTGAAGAACAGAGTAAGGTTGTAAATAAGTAATTTCCTCTGGCTGAAAATAACGCTTTATATAGAACACATGTCATTGTTAAGTGCCATCGATTTGGTTGACTCAAATCTTCATTATTTTATTAATTCCAAAATTATATATTACTATATGAAACTCTCCCTCCCAACCCCCTTATTAGTTTATCTGTTCTTCTCAGCCTTGTTTTAAATTTCTGGTCAAAAATCAGACCAGTTCCTCCTGGCTTTCAAATACGTATAGAACATTCAAAAGTATCAGTTAAAATGATACATTTAAGTTTTAAAATTAAGAAGATAAAAGAAAACCATTTATGGCTGAAGACTGGCTCACTTTTTTCCCTTAAATCTTCAGCAAGAATTTATGATATGAAGGACATAAAATATTCCCAAATAGTTAAGAATATCTATCCAACATACTACAAGTCAAGGATCATAACAGTCAATTTTTTCATGTTCCTCAAAATGGTACAACAGTTCATGGATGATGAGGAAGAAAAAATTAAAAACTTTAAATGTATTCCCGAGCAGCCATCACTTAAAATTTCATTCGATTTGTAACCTACAAATATTTGAAGATTTTCACTGAGAAGACCAAAAAGCAGAAAGTTTTGTGCCTTCTTCTGTAACACCAACCAGATGAAATTTCCAAATGATAATATCTTTATATAGTTTGGTAAAACAAAAACATGAAACTGGTTAATCAGTTACCTTGCAGTCTCCCATCAAAACCCTAAATCATACTTATATGATACAAGACACATGCACAGTGACACATATGAACTTCTTAAGTCAGAACATTCAAAATGTTAGATAGTATCAAGGGAAGAGTGACTAAAAAACAGATAATATGAGCCACAGAGAAAGCATTTCCAGAAACTGGATTTTATAGGACAGCTTTTGCTTTTTATAATAAAATGCCTTTTGAGTTAAATCTCATACCCACTCAACCTGTAACTGGACAGTACATTTCACTTCTAGTTACTAGAAGACATTTCTTTAAAAATGATTGGGGTAAAAAGGGAAGAGGAGACCATAAGCTGTTCTCTAGGTCCACCTGCCACACCCCTTTTTAAAAGGAAAACTGGTGAAGTAAAATCTTAGATTTTTAAACCAAAATAAAGGGGACACAGGATAGCAAAGATGGAACACTGGTTTTTTTTGTCCTTAAAAAAAAAAAAAAAATCAGTCTGCTTCTAAGAATAGTTTACATACAGCTCACCTAACACCTTAAGAAGAACAAAGAACACAATAGGAGGGAAGAACACACAGCACCATAGTTTCAAACATTCACATAAAAACAAAACAAGCAGCCAGCACAGACTAGAGTAATATCAAGTCCTCTGACAGGGACAAATCCCAACACATAAAGGAAATATAATTATATATTGAAACAAAAGCAAGATGGAGATCTGGCCAAGAATAGAATGGAGATGGGAGTGCTAACTCCTTGTACTACAAGGAAGGAATGGGATTTCTTCATTGAAAAGAAAAAGAAAAAGCAAGTCCCCAAATGGATGTTGAAACTCTGTCCTATGCTGCTGGTAACAGTATATATATATTTATATATTCATATATGTATATTAAAAAAGGAAAAATAATCTTTATAGAACAGTCAGTAGTCAGAGACATTTAGAAAAAAGTAAAAACAAGTCCTTTTTTTTTTTTTTTTTTAAAGATGGATTTACTAAAACCTCTTCACCCAGAGGTATTACAACCCCACATCCTCTGATGGAGCCATGTCATTATTCAACAGCATCTGCTGTTGCTCATGGGCCACAATCAGAAATTGCCAATGTTGGAAACAGCAGACATTGATTGGGGTCAGGGCTGCAAGGCAAAAGCTGTTATCTGCTGGTCTTGCTCATGTGGCCATGCCTGAAGCCTGGTGATGTCTGGAATACTTGTGAATGAAGATTTCCCCGAAAAGCATGCATCACTGAGGCTCAGTAAGACATTCTGACTTGTCTTTTTTCTTGTAGGAGTCTGGATCCATGTACCTGTTCTTCTTCAAAATGAAGACCCAAGGTAACAGACTTCTCTCAAAGTCAAAAGAGGCTCCTTGCCTTGAAATAAGAAAAGCTCTTCTTCCCCAAATCCAATCTAGTCAGATTTCTGACCTAGTTGCTATCCACCCCCTAAGGTAGGATAAGGCAATTTGCCCAGGATGGTGAGAGAGTCTTTTATTTCGGCTTCCTTCTTGGTACAAACAAGCATAAGTACCTGAGGTCTGTAGACTGTGATACTATCTCATGACTTCTAACAGGAATAACTTCAATCCTATTCCTCCAAGTTGTATCGTAAGGCATGAAATGTCCAGTAATAGTGGAAATAAAGTGGTACTTGGACTCTTCTCCAGCTATCTCAACTAAAGAGATCCAAGCTATGAGCACACTACTTGCCTCCAAATGGTGCTGCCCCTAGGAGTAAGCCACTAGCTAATATAAACTAGCCATAAGCCACATCCTACAAACCCTGTTAACATACCAATGTACTATAATGTTAACCAGCCACCCTAGATCTCCATCAAGTGCTTGATTTTAATGCAGCAAACCATACTCAGAGGGAACATCTGAATTGAAATATTGGCTGCTGTACCAAAGGAGACATCCTCTGCACAGATGTGCTGATAAAGAATGTAACTCACACAGTCCATGCAAAGAGGAAGCCAGCACTAAGAGGACTTTCTCTAAAGGCCATTCATCTTTGGAAGCAACATTTTGAGTGTTATCTAAACCACTCTACTTGATGACTAAGGTCTCAATATGGTCCACTTTCCCCCTTGTCCCAAACTAACCAAGCATGTGCTAACTGGTCTCCTTAAGATCCTCCATTGGTAGTTTGTAGCTCATTATGAAGGAAGGAGGTGGTGCTTGGCCTGGGCTATCTGGCCCCTGCTTCTTTTCACAGTTTATACAGATGTAATCTTCATTTTCAGCCATTTCTGGAGAAACGCCCACACAAACTTGATGAAACCACTCATCACAGCCACCATCACACTGTACCCAGTCTACCTGTAGGGGACAAGATTAGGGAACGTTTAGGTCACGTAAACATGAAGCCTAGAATAAAAGCAAATCAAAGAGCTTTTTTGGCTTAAATGACAGCAAACAATTGGGATGTCCAGAGAGAGAAACAATGACTTGTTATGGGGTTATTTTCAAAAGAAAGAAACTGGGAAGTTAATACCCAAAAATTACATTTTACAATAGTGTGTCCACAAAATTAGGCATCTTAGATACTTCATTTCCTCATGAATACCTAGCACTCCTTGTGAGGCAGAAACATGTTTGAGGAAAACTTGACAAAAAAGGAACTTTTAATAGAGCAGCCAAGTAATTTTAGCTAATATTAACAGTTTCTATGCCCTAAGATAATGCAATTAACAATCAAGAAAGAAAAAGTACAATGTGAAGGCAATCCTGCATATCAACATATCAGCTTTATTTCAAAGAGATAAGCCAAAGTACTAAAAGCATTAAATACCTTTTTAGAAAAGTAGTCACATAGGCCACTTCTTTATTTTTTATTTTGCTTTTTGGAAAAAAAGTTTTCCCACCCTTTTTTAAAAAAATATTTTATTGTGAATTATGTGATAATTTACATGGAAGAACATTAGCTTTACATTCATCCTATCATATAGTTTCACTGCCATGGTTACACCCCCTGCCCCCCATGCATCATACACCAACCAAAGGTTATACCCTAAAAGCCTGCCCCCCAGTCATCAGCACACAGCCCCTCTCCCTCTCTGGGTCTAAAGTCCCCAGCCACTCCATCTCTCCACGTCATCCTCTCTGCCTCCATCTCTGGCATCACTGTTTCTCTGGGTAGGGTGCCACTCTCTGCTCTTCTCCCTTGATGGTTCCAGGGACCTCCGCTTCTCGACTGCAAAGTCAATCACTCCCCTCCCTTTACTACAAAACGTCTACCTTTACATTTCCAACCCTCACAGTCAGTCCTGATATCAATTATTCACTATTGTATCACAAGAGACCTATCCCCATCTCCTTTCATTAGTCCTGCCCACACAGATTGGATACTACTCAGTGGAGATTCTACCTTCCTCCACGCCCTCTGGATCTAGTCTCTCTCTTGAAAGCTTGTAAGCCAGTCACTTCGTGCCTTTGTAGCCCCCCTCCACCCCCATTTTGGGTAGCCAATGTCCAAGTTGCCTATCCCTAAATACTGTGTATGGAGGGGGTGGGAGTGATCCTCGCTGCAAAGATTTGTTCCCTCTTTTGAGCTACTGTGTCCATAGGTGAAGGTCAAATTCATCAAATTATATCAGATTACTCTTTTTTTCCTCTTCTTTCTTCTTCTAGTTGAGCTCTGATCATCCAGTCATCGAAGCCAAGTCAAGCGCGTATTATCTGCAAGTGTGGGTGTTCTTATGCATATGCCCTCTCTTCTTAGCAGTTGGACGCTTCACTCTCCATTCTAGTCCTCTGTGGCTATGTCACTGACTCTGGACCCAAGAGTCCCAAGGTCTTGCCACACTGCTGGCCAACCAGGTCTCCACCCAGGTTCACAGGTGTATTGAATGTTGTAGGGCCTAGCTTGCAGCTTCACTGCTGTTTTCCCCTCACTCCCCCTTATTGGTGACCAATCAGAGCGCATGTCTGCTAGTGTATTCCCATTGAGTCTTGGACGGGGGTTTGCCCTGAGTGGACCCGACCACTTGCCTTGATGTCTCCTGGGTGAGCAACTTGCTTGTTCTTGTAGTAATCAGTTGGACTGCTGTTATTATTTTGTATTTTTCCTGTCGGTCTTTTTTTCAAGAAGTATCTTCTGTTTTTCTAGCCACTCCAGACTGGTCTGCTTGTTCTTTCAAGTGGAAATTTCCCACCTCAGAAGATTCTGGATGGGATTCCACCTATCATCTTACGCAATGCAAAGGCTCCACAGGAAGTCTCCTTCACTGGGCACATTGTAGCCCCATTTTAGGTGTTCCAATCAGTTATAGGCAGAAGACGGACTTACAAGCTTTCCATGGTGATATTTCTGGCTATTCCTTTCTCTCCCCATCAAGTGTCTACTTTATAATGGTATGACATAGGACACTTTTAAACTAATTATTTTTTATTCTTCTCTTCTTCCATTACAAATACAATTCCCTATAAAAAGTTAGCAAATATCAGAGGTCAAATCTTACAAATTAACAAATTACACAGTCACAGACACAGGTCAGTAGATCACTCTGGGATTTAAAATTAAAGTCTGGAAAACCGATAGGTTGATAGCCAATGTCAGGCAAACTACATCCTTCAGAGATTACACTAGGCTGAAAAAGGATTGTACTGCGGTGACTTTAAGCCTTGGACATAGAGTCAACAATAGTGTGACTCTGAGTTTTTATATATAGTACTTTCCCTAGTTTATGCCATGACAGATAGGAAATTTGAAGATTTAAAGAACTACTCTCCCTCTTCCCAAAAATGGGCAACACAGGAAGCCACTTAAAACAATTAGCTTTGCTACAGATCAGAACAAGGTAAGGAGTATGAAACCATAAAAGAAGTCTCTCAGTAGAGTTGTGAGAAGAGAGATGAGGGAAGTTTGGGTTAGCTAAATGAGTTCAAGGGTATGTGAGTAGTTCTCAAAATGAGTTTGCACGTACTATAAAAATAATCAAAACCACAATAGTCATTTTACTGATTTTAGGGTGGTAATAAAACAGTGGAAGAAATCATCTGTCAAACTAATCTTTCCGTTTCTGTTTTTCCTAGAGAGTTCTATATTTCTAAGAGTACTATGTCATATAAAGATTAATGAACGCATTCACAAGTCCTGAGTTCTGATGTTACTCTTTCACAAGTGTATATAATTTGAAGCAAGTCATTTGACCTCATTGAGGCTCAATTTCCTCATCTGTAAAATGGAATTAACAATTAATTACAGTGTTATTGATAGAATTAAATGAAACTTATGGCAAAGCACTTAGTTGAGCACCTGGGATACTAGAGGCACTTTAAAAACATTCTATGCCTTGATAACAACCACCAGCAGAACTGCTCAAAATGTGTGGACCATTTACATCACAATCATCTGTTGCCTTTGCTAAGGCACCCACTCCAGGACTCAGTATCAGGGGATGTGTGGGGGGGTGTTGAAGTAAGAGGCAGAAATCTACGTTTTACATTTTTAATCACTACTCACATAACCTCAAGGTTAGCAGTTAGAAACTACCAGTAGAGAGGCTTCCTGCTCCCATAACGATTTATAGCCTCTGAAACCCTATACAAGGTAGTTATGAGTTGGAACTGACTCCACGGCATACCACCACCAGCTTTTGTTATATTGTTTCCTATAAATTTAGAGCAACTTTAACAATTCCTCCTAAACAAAATTCTATTTTTCTTCTGTAATTGTATAATGTCGAATTTTGAGTAAATCAATGTTCATGTAGCAAGCTGTATGAAAGCTAGAAAATGGCTTCTGTGTAACAAATTAAAAACATAGGCACTGCAAGCAGGTGAAGATTTACAAATTGGGTCCTATAGGGGCAATCTATACACTGTCCTATAAGGTTGCTAGGAGTCAGAATAGACTCCGTAGCACACAAGTACTGGATAGTAAATGGCTATTCTGATAAGGTGACAGTACGAGGGGGCTTCAAAAAGTTCGCAGAAAAATTACATTTCTCCACAAACTTTTTGCAGTCCCCTCATATTTCTAATTGGAAAAATGAATTGTGTTTATTTGGGTTGCCCACTGTAGGATAAGCAATGGACTGCTAACCACAAGGTTGGTGGTTCAAACCTACCAGCTGCCCTTCAGAAGCCCTATACAGGGTCTCTATGAGTTGGAACTGACTCAACGGCACTTAACAACAACAACAAAGATTATTACTGTATGCCAGACTCTTAACAAAAAACTATAGCACCTAACAACAATAACCCTTAAAAACCAGGGCTTTGAGCCAGTTCATTCCGGTTTGACACGCTCCCACTCCAGAGAATTTGCCTTTCCACCCCACATACACTGAATCAGAATCACTTAGGGATCTTATTAAAATGTAAATTCTGATTCAGTATATCTAGGATGGAAAGGCAGATTCTCTCAGCAGGAGGTCAAATATGACCGAGTAGGTTGGAGAAACCCTGCCCTAAACCAACAGACAGCTTCACTCCTACCTCCAAACCTTATAAATAGCCCAGCCTCCATTCATGATAGGACAAGAAAGTTACCAATTTATCAATTCGAATTTTTGCTGACAGGAAAATTGGCCCATATCTTTAAAAAGCAAGTCTGCCCTATACTCACTGATTTCCAGTTTCTCAAAAATAGGTATTTCATCCTCTTTCAAATAAGTAACAATTTCCCTTTTTGTGATTTTGTCTAGAAGTCTCTTGCTAAGCCTGGCTTTCACATCATTCCAAGACAATGTACACAGGTTCTCACTAGATGAAATAACAATTTATCCTAAAATCCTGGCAGAGAAAAAAACAATACTTCTGTTACTAATGATCGTTTTATCATGTTCATTCACTAAGAATCAAACTAGACTTCTATTTTTATTTTAAAAGGCCTATAGTACTGATGTGGTGCTGTGGGCTAATGCATCAGACTGCAAAGTCATTTGAACTGCAAGGTCGGTGGTTCAAGTTCACCAGCTGCTCCTTGGAAACCCTATACAGGCTTGCTATGGGTCGGAATCGACTCAATGGCACTTAAAGACAACGTAAGTTCATACAAGAAGCCCTGGTATCATAGTGGGTTGATTAGGAATTAAGCTGCTAATCAGCTGCTCCGTGGGAGAAAAATGAGGCTTTCTGGTCCAGGAGATTTACAGCCTCGGAAACCCTATACAGAGTCATTATGAGCTGTAACCACCTGACAGCACATAACCAACACCACCACCAGCACAAGATCATAAAGCAGACTAAAGCTTGGAATCCAAAGAAGCTTTTGACACTGGAGCAACAGGCTATGTGGTGGTAACCTGAAAACACAGTAATACAATGCTGCTGCTAAGAGATATACTGAGTGAATAACAAAAATAACTATTAAA